TGTAACTAGGTGACTGATTAGAGCAGCACTCAGAGGCAACTTCTGGCTTTAACTCCAGACACAAACATGGAGGCAGGAGCATCTTTTCTCTGATGAAATAAACTTCCTGTTACTCATGGTTAGTAGAATTAACTTGGACTAGGATGCTTTCTGTTTCCTCGCTGTCCTTATTTTGTGAAGAACTGCACCGCATGCATACTTCCTGTCCTCTGGCTGTAGCTTTTCAGCTCAGCCTTGTTACGTGTAAACCCAGAGATGACACCAAGGTGAAGACAGTCAAACCGGACTGAGCTGCTTTCCTTCCTCCGTGAGATCTGAGACTTTTCCACATCTGGAAAGCCTTTCCAACCTTCCTGGATCTGCAGGCGTGTTGTGTAGACACACCCACCCAGCAGCACGTCGGGTTTGTTACACTGAATGTCCAACATTTGATTTTTGGTTCAGACTAAAGCAGAAACAAAAAGTGGACTCACAGTTTTACAGGATGAATCACGCAGAAGAGCCGCTTGGAGAGTGCAGATGTGGGAGTGAGGCGTGTACACAGCCTCTTTCTCTCTTAATCCGCAGCAGAAGGGGAGGAGAAGAGGGAGGAGGAGGAAATGAGCTGTTCCTGCAACCAAGAAGAACGGCTCTGATTGGAAACAACACATTCAAAAATGATTTGGAATCCAACATGCGAGCTCAGACTGCTGTAAACCAGTTCATCCTGTCAAAATAAAAGCAGGGTGAAGATCCCCGATGTACGCAGTAGGTCCTTTAGACTCTGGGATGTTAGGTAGAGCACACACACACACACACACACACACACACACACACACACACACACACACACACACACGCACGCACGCACCCTGTTGGCTACATGTTACATTTCAAATTTTCATGTTTTTATTTAAATATCAACATAAATCGAGTCATTGTCCCTCAACGAAATGCTTTCCAACATAAATCTGAGTCTGCGTCAGCTGAAGCTGGTGGTCCAACCGTCAACCCGTCCTGTCTCCCCAGAGCTGGTAAGTCAGTCAGGCAGTCATAATGTTCTGGCTGCTGGGTCAGGGTGTGTTTGTCTTTACTTTTAAAGAATCGCGTAACAGAAGAATCAACAGGAGGCGGCGCCCGGCGAGCAGGACCTGTGCTGGGTTTGGTTCGTGTTGTTTACCCATGGGTGGACTGGCCTACCCGGCATTCTGGTGCTGCCTCTGTGGGCCCCGCAAGTGACCCCCCAATCACATTTGGCAGGACAGACGAGTCAGTGAGCAGCTGCAACACCCCCCCCACCCCCCCACCACCCCTTTCCCCAGGGCCAACGGCAATGGCACCACTAGCAAACTGCCGTCACTCCAGGAATGCAGCACATCGCCACAGGCTAAACTCTCCCAGAGTCACCACAAGGACCAATTCGGTGTGCCACCCCAAACACTTCTTTGGCCCCATCTGGCCACCCCATGGAGGCGCCACTGGCCAACGGTCCATAAAAATGCCAGGGCCAATTAGTTTTTGTCCCAGTCCACCCCTGCCTGATCAGCACCAACAGGTTTGGGTCACTAATGTGGACATCAGCTGTCGAGGGCATGACCAGCAGAAGGTGCCGGGAGTTGTTTGAGTTTCGCTGCAGCAACAAACCTGCTGAGCAGCTCCCAGCTCCGATCCAAAAGCAAGCTCAAACAGGTCGCTCCCGGCTGCTCTCCTCTCACACACCATGTTTACCCACATCAGAGCTGCGCTGGTCAGCGGGGGGTAAACACAGCTGCTCACAGCATCAGTGTGTGCTCTAAATCCTGATGATGATCATCTGCAGCAGCCTGACAGACGGACCAACGCTGAGTGGTCTACAGGAAAGATCTGTTATTACATCACATCAATGTTGTTCATCATCTCCATCAAACTACTCATAAAGCACCGAGTTCCCTCTCCACCGGGCAGCCGCTCGGGGGTTGGATCCTAGCAGGAAGTGTGCATCCCAATCCACAAAGCCCTCGGTGGATTAGGCTGCTATGCTCACGGACTTACGGGCGTCCAGAGAAGCAAATGGAGCAGGAAGGTGCTCACGTTTCGGATACATGACGCCCAGACAGAGTAGCGACATCAGCCGTCTGGAAAACCACGTTTAGCATTTAGCTACATCCTGAAAACTTAGCTAACAAACTCTACGATTAGCTACGAATAACCAAAAACATCTTCCCCTCTGGCCTTTTTATTAGAGCCGTGTTCACTGCTGAGTCAGCGGTTAGTTTGGCGCAGGAGACTTTCACAAGAACTATACTCATGGAGGCAAACATCTGAACATGTGTATGTGGCGTG